CAACCAGACCACCCACGCCGGCCTGGGCCAGTCGCTCGTCGTCGGCATCGGCGGCGACCCCTTCAGCGGCACCAACTTCATCGACTGCCTCAAGGTCTTCCTCGAGGACGCCGAGACGGACGGCATCATCATGATTGGCGAGATTGGCGGCTCGGCCGAGGAGGACGCCGCCGACTTCATCCGCGAGCACAACACGGTCAACGGCGGCAAGCCTGTCGTGTCCTTCATCGCCGGCATCTCGGCGCCCCCCGGCCGCCGCATGGGCCACGCCGGCGCCATTGTGTCGGGCGGCAAGGGCGGTGCCGACTCCAAGATCAAGGCCCTCGAGTCCGCCGGCGTCATCGTCGAGCGCTCCCCCGCCGGCCTGGGCAAGGCCCTCCGCGACGAGTTCGTCAGGCGGGATCTGCTCTAAACCTGCGCGCTGCAGTACCGTGGTAATTCCATCCGGGCGCTTCTGGCATTGTACATGTTGATCCTTTCATTTGTCGCCGCGAGTGAATGAGGTGGGGGGTAGAGCAGTTGTGAGAGTACGGAAACCGCTCAGGGAGCGAGGTGAACTTGAGGCAGGCATATCGAACTTATAGACTGGGGGAACTTGGCGGTCTGGCATAATATGTTGTGCATTATGAGCCTCTTGTGTTTACTCTGTAGTTGACCCAGCGGCTGTGACGTCTGTCTGCCAGTGCATCGCAGTGATCTCTACTGCAAACAACAACACGATGTGGTCCCTTAGCTGAGAGAGCCCAGCCAGCCAACTACAGGCTGCTCGCGGAGCTGGCTAAGCCAGTTGGGCATGGGATCTCGGTGTTGGCTGCCACTTCGGCGGGCCTGACCAGGTTGGAACGGGAATCTGTTTGCCATGCCTCAGATCCCAACCGCGTGCTGAAAATAGCTATCCGCATCAGTACGGCCCCTGAACTGGCCAAAGGAACGGGTCAAGCTTGGAACTCGGAAAAGCCTGGAGAGGCCAGTTCACGCCCATCACCTGGCCGGTGATGCCTGCCGGACCCAATGCCTTGCATTCCTGCTTTAGTCTAATGAAAGGAAAGAAGCGTAAAAAGTCCCATAAAATTGTTCGCCTGGCCGCCATCCGTAAACTCCTTTCCTGATGCTTATAGGGACACATGATATTGGGTTCTCCCCAGGCCGGAGTCCTCCGAAACAGCCTCGGCCTCGTTGATTCCCCTTCACCTCCACCCGCCGCTCCCATGTCGCCCGCCGGGTGGAATGCAGCTCATTCCGCCGTGCTCGGTTCCCTGATTACTTGAGACGGTCGGTCGGTCGGTCGGTCGGTCGGTCGGTCCCTGCTACTGCTCGCCGAGGAGTCGAGCGGTGATATCGCCCATATACGCTTCCTCCAACTCGTAGTCCTCGCCCCCGTTGCGGTCGATACCCACAAACACGAACGCCTCGACCACGGCGTCGACGTCAAAGCCCATGTGGACAAACCGGTCCACGAGTTCCTTGTTATAACCCTTGTATCTGCAGGCGAGGCGGGGAAAAAAAAGCCCGTTGTCAGCGCGGTTCCTAACACTCCTTTTCCTCCCCCACGTGTTCAAACAACCCCCCATTCCCCAGAAACGTACCGTGACGGGTCGTCCTTGACCACGGGCGCCGTCGACTTTTGGTAGTTGTGTGTGAGCGTCTCCCTCCGCGGCGCGCCCGCGTACTTGACGGCCCAGTCGTGCGCCTTGGCCGCAAACTCGTTGGGCTGCTCCATCATCATCTTGGCCACCTCGGCGTCTTGCGGGTCCTTGGGGTTCGGCGACTCGAGCAGCATGCGCAGCGAGATGAGCGCCATCTTGATGGTGCCCACGGGCGACCACCCCGTGCCGAGCGTGTCGAGGCAGATCGCGCCCTGGTGGAGTGAACGGTGTGCGTTAGCAAAGTGTTGCATGGCTTTAGGCACCTCAACTCTCCGGCCCGGGCCCGGCCCGCCCCGTCCGTCCGTCTTGCTTCCTGCCTTGTACCGGGCAAACCTACCGTCACACTGCTGACGTTGGGGTGCCAGATCTTGGTGTCGAACTTCATGATGGGCGACTTGAACGGGTACATGTCGGGAATGACAATGTCGATCTGGTAGGTGGCGCCCGCGTACGGCGTGTCGGGCGGCCCCGGAAAGGTGCCCTTGAGGTGCGTCAGGTTGGCGGGGTCGACGGGGGTCGCGAACACGCCCGAGTTGTCCTTGTCGTTGTGGATGTCGGCCAGCTCCTTCGCAATCCGGCGCTCGCGCGTGGTGGCCATGGTCGGCGACGATGTTCCAGCGACGGGTGGTGGTGGTTGCGGTTTCGGCTACACGTGGTTGAGGCGGCGGTTCCGCGGCTGACGCGAGGAAGAGGGTGGGGGAAACCACCACGGAAATACTTGGAGGGGTAACTGAATGTTTAAGCGTGATGGAAGGGGCAAAATGTGGTTCGTTGCAGCCAGGCCTGTGGTAGCGGGCGGAGCCTTAATAAACAGTTGAAAGTGAATGAGAGAGGAGGGCCGCTACATGTAAAACTCTACGTAATGGTAATGCGATAAAATAGAAGCTGAGAATGCGGTCGAAAACGATGCCCCGCCGTTCTGGACCGGGTTGGTGTTGGGCCAGGCTTCAGTGGCTTTTGTCTGGTGCTCGCTCCGTCTTTCTCCCGCAGCGCCCGGTTCCAAGCAAACGAACGCACCTTGCAAGCGCCAGACCCAGTCGATTGTTCCAGGCCAGGCGCTTCGGGTCTCAGCTCCTTTGGAGGAGAACGCCTGACACGGGTCATGCAGCAGCATCGTCTTGCTGATGGCAAGTGGAGGCGAGCTGGGGGAGCTCTTGTCATTTGACGGAGACCGGAGCGCCGTTTGCCTGGTAGACCCACTCGCCTGAAATAGTCCGTGCGTCGTTGGCGCGTCGCTCTGCCGCCTGGCGGCTCCCAACGAAGCTCGGCGCAAGCTTGCACCGGCCACTCCATCACATCACACCTCAGCCAACAACCTCGAACCGCCGTTGGTATCGCATATCGCGCGCATCACCGCATCCCATTTAGGGGGCATTCAGCAGCACACATTGTGTGTGGTATCTTCATTTACATTCAAGACGACCGTTAATCGTATCGCTCCGACCGGGGTCGCGCACCGGCACCATGGTACAGTCTCCCAGCCGATCATCTTCCCGAGGCCCATACTAACCAACTTCGCAGGGCCAGAATCAATCGGGCATGGGCGGGGGTGGAGGCAAGGACGGGCGGGATGAGAAGGACAAGAAGGTTCGGGTCCCCGATGATCGAGATGGCCATCAACGGGCATCGCCAAACGAGTTGCCACCCGACATTTGCTGACTGGCCTTACCACCGACAGAAGGACAAGCCCAAGTATGAGCCGCCCCCGAGACCGACCACGCGCATCGGCCGCAAGAAGAAGAGAGCCGGCGGTACGAGCGCTGCCGCAAAGATGCCTCCTGTCTACCCGACGAGCCGATGCAAGCTCCGACTGCTGCGCATGCAGCGCATCCACGACCACCTGCTGCTCGAGGAGGAATATGTCGAGAACCAGGAGCGTCTTCGGAAGGCAAAGGCTGCCAAGGACAACAACGCAGCGCCCGCTTCGGAGCTCGAGTCCGCCGACCGCATGGCCGACGAGCGCAGCCGTGTCGACGACATGCGCGGCAGCCCCATGGGGGTCGGCACGCTCGAGGAGATGATTGACGACGACCACGCCATTGTTTCCAGCACAACCGGCCCAGAGTACTACGTCAGCATCATGAGTTTTGTCGACAAGGATCTGCTCGAGCCCGGCGCCAGCGTGCTGCTGCACCACAAGACGGTCAGCATCGTTGGTGTCCTCACGGACGATACGGATCCGCTTGTCAGCGTCATGAAGCTGGACAAGGCGCCTACAGAGTCGTATGCGGACATTGGTGGCTTGGAGCAGCAGATTCAGGAGGTGCGGGAATCAGTCGAGCTGCCGCTGCTGCACCCCGAGCTGTACGAGGAGATGGGTATCAAGCCGCCCAAGGGTGTCATTCTCTACGGCGCGCCGGGTACCGGAAAGACTCTTTTGGCCAAGGCTGTGGCCAACCAGACATCCGCAACGTTCCTGCGCATTGTTGGTAGCGAGCTGATCCAGAAGTACCTCGGTGATGGCCCTCGGTTGGTCCGCCAGCTCTTCCAGGTAAGCTGCACGGGAATCCTTACAGTTAACTCTTCCTAACACATCCCAGGTCGCCGCGGAGAACGCCCCCTCTATCGTCTTTATCGACGAAATCGATGCCATCGGCACAAAGCGTTACGATTCCACATCGGGTGGCGAGCGTGAAGTGCAGCGGACCATGCTGGAACTCCTCAACCAGCTGGACGGTTTCGACGACCGCGGCGACGTCAAGGTCATCATGGCCACCAACAAGATCGAGACGCTCGATCCCGCCCTCATCCGGCCGGGCCGTATCGACCGCAAGATCCTGTTCGAGAACCCCGACCAAAACACGAAGCGCAAGATCTTCACCCTGCACACGAGCAAGATGTCCCTCAACGAGGACGTCGACCTGGAGGAGTTCATCGCCCAGAAGGATGACCTGTCGGGCGCCGACATCAAGGCCATCTGCTCCGAGGCCGGTCTCATGGCTCTGCGGGAGCGCCGCATGCGCGTCCAGATGGCCGACTTCCGCGCGGCCCGTGAGCGGGTGCTGCGCACGAAGCAGGAGGGCGAACCCGAGGGCTTGTATTTGTAATATCCTGTATGGCGAGTAGCCGGGGGGGAGAGCACCGGCAGCAACAAATAGACAAGCGAACTTGCGATGCGCATGGTGCTAGCGAAAACTATCCGGGCCCCGTCATGACATCCACGCGGTGATGTGATGCGTTCTGTAGCGCTCCGTGACAGAACCTTTAAACGACCGGCAAGCCGTCTAATGTTCGCCGAGCCCCCCAGGATGGTTGCGGAAGGCTGGCAGTTCACAGAACTCATTTCCAAGTGCCTGCTGCAAAAAAGAACATGGCGTCACTTTGTGACAAGGCAAAAGAAATAGGCAAAAAGGATGGGAACTGTGAGGCTCGAACTCACGACCTCAGGATTTCCAGGTTTGACACCGGGTCATACAATCGTATGAGACCTGCGCTCTTCCAACTGAGCCAAGCTCCCGTTGATTCGTTGATAAGACTGACCCAGATTCGGTGCCTATGTTCATACGCCCGGGGGTTAGGGTTACTGCCGAGACATTCCCCTATTTGAACTAAACGAGGTCTCCTTCGTATATGTAGTGCAATTCAACGTCCCCAACCTTGGGCCTTGGCGTAGAGAAACATCGTCGCGTTTTGGAGCTCCGACGAGTACTCTTGTAGTCTGGGGCAACCCTGACTCTGGCCTACCCACCGTACCTCTGCGTCCTGTTGTGTTTCGTACCGGGATCGGTAGTCTCGGGGGAGTAGGGAATGGAGATAGATGGGATGAGGCGCGGTGTTGATCAGGCCTGTGATAAAGTTGATGTTGCGTCGGCCCACCACGTGCAGCCCGAGCTCTCTAGGTAGTCTCATGCTTGCCCCCTGCTTCTTCCACATGCAGGCTTTTCCCAGCTTTCCACAAAGAGGACCAGATATCGAATATCATGACTTCGGTTGCTCTCAGTTGCCCAGCGTGTCCCTTGCAAATACAATATGTGCACTGTTCTCTTGGCAATATACACGTTACGATATCAACGAGAAGCACACTGCAGTAGTGTAGTACAAGAATCGGGTTGGCCGCTTTGGGGGACTGAAATACACGAGGAGCCTGGAAAACATCGAGAGGTTAAATAGAGTCACCTGCTATCTATCAAGTTGTTAATGTGTGACGAAGCTTCTGCAAACTCTACCTGAGCTTTCGGGATGAGCGAAGGTTCAAGCTTCACATGCCGTCAAAGAAGGTCACATCAACACGAGTACCAACACCAACAATACGACCTGTCGACATCGCACCACCTACAGTGTTTTGGTCAGCGCCACTCAAATCTTCCGCTAGTGCCCCTCACAACAACTTTCGCCCCATCCGGAACCTCGTGCATTAGCTTTTATTTTCCAAACGATTATCCGGTCTTGTTTGTATTTGCTCCAGACTCGTCATGTATGCCACCCGGATTCACTCTCGGCCCGACGGGTTTCCACTACTCGCCGGGCATCGCATGCCCAAGCTGCTACCGGATGGTGCCACGATAACGTTGGGGTTCCATCTCACTACCGTGACCTGGTAATTCTTCTACGCTAATGCCCCTGGACTTATCCTGGCCGGACAGCCTTTAAAGGAAAAAGAATCACTGGCCTGTTGGTTATCTACCTAGCCGTTCCGCACCCAATGACAATTTCTACCGTATAGAGTGCGCGACACATCCTGAAAGCAGCACCGAATGGTAGGAGATTTTCAATGCGGTACGGTGGGACTACAGTCACAGCCGTCAGTCAACGTCCTGGTCACAATATCATACAAAGGCAAAACGTCTACAAAAACCTGGCCTTCGTTGTCTTCCGACATCATCTACGCTTACGACGGGGTATAAGGATGGTCTATCAGGCGACCGATCTCGCAACCTCAATAACAAGCTCTCTCCCCCTCCAACCTCTTCTGAGCTTGCCGCTGGCTCGAGTCTCTCGGCCGGCGCAACTGTCGCGACTGGCGTAAAAATACCTTTGGTAGTATTGGCAGCGCTAGGAGGAGGTTTCGTTGCATGGCGGCGGAAAAGGAAACGACGAAAACAAGGAGCCCCAGTTACACACTTGCCAAAACTTGCACGAGCTACCGGCAAAGCAACCGCATTATGAAATGCCAGATGATGGAAGACCTGCAGAGATGGCTGGCACGTAACCGACTTGGGAGTTGGATGGGGATTATACGCAGAGGCGCTGAGCTCAGAATAGTAATTACGATTCAAGTTACCTTCGACGTCGGTCGTGACGAGCGTCCTTCCCTCGGTCCAGTTTACACTGTCCTCAAAACATAATTCTCGAGCGTCATTTCCATTAGCTTGGTGACTCTACCATGCCCATCTGGCAGCATACTAGAGATGAGGAAGAATTGAATGGTTTCTCCTCCCCTCTTGTGAGGATAAGGGAAGTCTGTTGACTCTGTTGCCAGGGAGCCCGGGAGAAAAGGACAACAAAGGAACAAGACGATGTTAGTAGATTCTTTACCTGTTTTGTTTTCATACAGATACGGGTTGATTTATAACAAGCATTGCTTGGCGTTTGCCGTGTCTCAATTCGTGCTCGATGTCCTATAGCTTTTGAAGCAGTCTAAGCACTTGGACAACTAAGATAGTTGCATGTCATGTTGATCTCACCTAGTTGTTACCTATCGAGATTCCAATGATATACTAGTAGCAATATGAAAGCTATGTTGGGAGCCTACTTTAGAACAAGGCACGCAGCAGCCAGTCGGCGTTGGATACAATCAAGAGGCAATGTGTGGGGACAGGGGGAGTAAACAAACGTCTGCCAAGACCGGTGATGGAGCCGTTAAAATGACCCAAACGGCAAAAACATACAACACCGGGGATTCGCTGGTCGTCACCGACCCAACTACTGATCCGGCGGTCGCCAGTTTATCTAGGGGAGAGCGGACGGGATCCCGAGTTTTCTAGCGCCTATGGTCGTATGTGACAGTCAGGTGGGTTGCGCGGCATCATATGCTTGTGCGGTCGAGTCTGCAGAAGAGCAGAGCCTAGGAAGGCTAACGAGGGCGGTGGTAAGGGTTTCTCGGGCACAACCAAAGCCGGGGAAGCTGGTGTCATAGGAGATGTCAGCGGTGCAATTGCGACGTTCCACGGTTTGCTGAAACACACACAGAGAGAAGAAAGAGCAGTAGACTGGCTACAGACGCACGACGGCGGAGAGAAACACCTGAGGTCAGATAGCGATGACTAGAGGGGAGTTTGTCCTTTTTTTATACGTGGGTGGCAGAGTTTGCACATATGTTTTTTAGATGCTATCATGATCTTTCTGGATTTGACGCCATCTTATCTAAGGTAGCTTCATCGAGTTCTAGCGAAGTGTATGTGATGACGAGACGGTCCTTTGGAAGTAAACCACCCGGAATAACGTCTTGGAAATGGTCATAGAGAAAGGCTCGGTTAGAGAGTTTTGTCTGGGGGGGAAGAGATGGACTTGGAGAATGGGTATCACATGTTGTTGTTGACGGCCTAAGAACAAAAGGAAACTTACCCGTCCACCCTCGAGGTCCAAAAGCCCTCGATGGCTCACCTCGTAAGCGAATATATCCCCGCTTGATGAAGTAGAATAGCTTAAGGCCCTTGAGCCGTTAGCTAACGGTCTGTTTCCAGCTTAGGGCTTCTAAGCCAGAGACTTGCAGCTCCTGCCTCCCCGAGCCGTTATCTTACAGCTTACGGAAGGAACAGCTTAAACAAATGAGCCGCTCGTTTGTCGTGAACCGAAGGAAGATAGCTCGTAAGTGTGAGCTAATATATCCCGGCATATGGACATTTGATATGCAGCGCTATGAAGACTATTAGAGACACGACATCAAACATCTCATGACAACCTTTGTTGCTAAAGGTGCCCTGCACTCAACGCTCTGGAAAAAAGAGGAATTATGTTTCATGGTTGACATGATTATGTCCATAGATCTTCCAGTATCAGCAAGATCAAAGTAACCTAAACCCCAGCGGGTACCTTTAGTTGACAGATTAAGAGCCCACGACAGCTCTCACTTGATTGCTAATTACATCTCAAATTTTTCAACGACCTTCGCCGTCACGGTAGACCCAGTAAAACACTTCAAGATTAGAAGAAACAAGAGAGCCTTGGAAATCCCTTACCGACCCCCCCCATTTCCGAATATCCCCCGTCTTTACCTTACTTGTCCTTCCACACTAGCAGCATGATCGTGCCCCATGCAGATGATCGCGGTCTGAGGAACCCGAAGGGGCAACACTGAAAAACACAAGATGCTAAATAGTATCCATGACGCGCCAATGATGATTCGAGTTGTTTACACAAATACTTGACCTAAAAAGGGCCGGCTTCTCCGGGTTGTTCAGGCTGCAGCGCCTCACTCGGCTCGAGTTACTGTCGGAGCAGCATGTAAGTTCTTTTGAACCCTTCGCCTTCACCTCAACATTTGTTACCGGCCTGGTTGTGACAGTGATTCAGAGCGTGCGATGACGGAAAGACAGGAGTCTGACGAGACAAACAACGTTCCCATTTTTTGTGTGTTATGGAGTGGTCATGACACCCACTGCCCTGACAATATAAGACCAAGAGGATAACATTAACCACCCAACAACCGAATGAGGAAAGGCTTCGGGTCGGAACACTAGAGAAGAAAGCCAGCCGGAACAACGCACTCCTGATCCTGCCGAGCACTTGAGCACTCCTCCGGGTCAACTCCAAGCCACGCTGTCGGGAATAGTTGAATATCATAGGGGCGGCTAAGACGGAGGAACTGAAGCTGTTCACCCGGAAGCCAAGGGCCACTCAGCTTCAAGCGAACTGACCCGACGTGGTGATGGTTCCAGTGGGAGGCATGACATCAACTCTGCCGGCCCGAGATCTACAGTTCTAGAACGGCATCTCGGATCTCCCATGCAGCAGCCTGAGCACGACTTACACCACCTGGGCGCGATACGTCATCGTATCCACCACCCGCATCTCCTCTCAACGCGACGGGTCGCGAAGACATCCGCGTGTTGACTGTTTCCCGCGTCTGGCGTCACGGGTTGCAAGGAGCTCAGGCACACTTCCCAAGATCAGGTCACCCAGTGGCACTCGCAAACACTCGCACGACACGCCAGATGGTTTCACCAGCCCACTGGGGCTCATCCCTTTGCATTCACCGCTAACTGGCGCCGGTACAGATTATGGTCATTTATTCAGCATGAGCGGGGCACTGGCCGGAGGCATTCGGCCGTCATCTCGAGAGGCCTGACTGAACAGCGCCTCTGCCCAACAACATCACGAAGCCTCTCCGCCAGAGCCGGGTATTTCGTTTTGTGCTTTCTTCATCCCATGCAACCTCGGTCTCCATTGGTTGATCTCATGTATTTATGAGGCCCCAAGCCTGGGGCGCACAGTGAGTCAGATAGCCATTGCCTATCCCCACCATCCACGCAAATGAAGTTGATGCCCTGAACCACCGCGCCAATCTAGAGAGAAATC